TTTTACCCAAAAATTGATAAATATTTTTCTAAAATATTGGATTCGGAGTGTCTTGCTCTTCAAGAGTAATAACAAATTATTATTTGAAATAATAAATTGTATAAAAATTTATTTTTCAGGAGTTAAAACACAATTTATTTTATTTAATTATACTCTTCGGGAGCAAAAAAAACATAATTTTTAATTCTACTTTTCGGGAGCAATCAAAATATAACTAGAACATAAATAGTAGTGTGCTACCTTAGGAGTAACAATAAATTAGTATTTAGAACTGATCTTCTGTCCATAGTAGATATGATATATATTGCTCATGTGACAACACAACATGTTGCCACATCAACGGTTGGGAAATAAATATAGAACTAAACGTCGATGTGGCAAATCTCATGCAAATAAAAGGCAATTCAATGACTTTCGGGATTTTGACTAAAACCTTAGCCCTAGCGGAGATTTCAGAATTTTGGATTTGTATAAAGCTACCCGCCCTATGACCCACAACTCAAAATGAGCCTTGCGATGAGACAATGACTTTTCCCATGCTCTTTCTTTCTCATATTGAAGTGCAGGATCTCCCGTTGATCCGATTGTAAGGGTCTTTGTTTTTGCCGTTACAAAATCCTGTGCTACGGAATGAATCTTACCACATCGACGAATGGGAAACTCAATTTCAAAAGCTCTTTAAAATACCGGGGAAAAAAGGAAAGAAATAACAATATCGACCCTAAGCAAGATCTCAAAAACTATCAGAAATAGTTTGCAGATTCTATGTTCACTTATCGAATTAAACTTAACTCAGAAATATTTCTTAAAATTATCAAAAACACCAACTCATCTCATCTCATCTCGTTCTTTTAACATTGATTAAGTAGCCTTTTGATCCAATGCTAACAAAATACTTTATTTAAATAAAAAATTAGAATCCAACTACACAAATTTTTCTCCCCAACATTCAACCTACCACTACGTTTATCGGAAGATGTTAAATCAATTTGTGTTACCTTAATTTATTTATCATGACTTGATCCAAAAACGACAAAACAATAATTCTTTTTCAAGCATCAAACAGATAGAATATTTGATGGTTATCCACAAAGAACAAGACACTATAAATCAACTTTTCCTCATTTCCTAACCATAAAATTGACATAAAGCAACCCACTACCATTGATGTAACTTCAATTTATATGTTAATTCAAAAATTTCTTTAACATTACTCTTCACATAAACAATGAATTCATTTTTTTTTAAAAAAGGGTTGACATGCTCAATGCTTTTTTTATACATAGAGAGGCCTAGCAATACCCAAACGCAAATATTTTGCTTGATTCTAGTATCGTATAACAGTCAGTCTGATATGATTTTTAAAATGTCAAAAATTATTTTTAAAATTAAAAAAAAACTATTTCTAAATATAAT